CTTTATTTTATTGAGGACTATTCTGTGGGTTTCTATTTTCTCCATAGTTGATGTAATGGGCATGGATCTTGTGTGATTAATGTGCTTCTTCCTATTGACGTATTGAATTACATGGATTGACTTGCATATATTGAACCAACTTTACCCTCTGGTATGATTCCCCTTTGGTGAGAGTTTGTGGTTATTTTATTAACTTTTTATATCAGCGCTCCAGAAATTATTGAAAAGTTTGCACGGATGGTCAAGCAAGAAATGTTTCTACAGCTCTTTCATTGATGAATCCATGGTAAGTTTGGCTTGGACAAAATGATGAACTCGTACAGCAAGTTCACTGTGAGCATTTCTTGTATGTTTCATTAAAGATTTAAGTATTATTACAGAGGGTTGTGCTTTGAAGGACTTCCAGAAATCACCTATGAGCCCTTGTTTTCCTGGACTTTATTTGTTGGGATTTCCTAACATTCCCTTATCCTCATGAATTTTGACTCTGTCATGAGATTAAATATCTCATCTCTAGTTTCACTCATTTGGGTACATTCACTCTCTGTCTCTATTCTACAACTCTCTCTCTTTTCTCAGATTAGCTAAGGATCTATCAATTAATGTTTATATTTTCACATAACCAATAGATTGTTTATTAAATCCATGTTTGTTTTTAGGCTTTCGTTTTTAATTCTAATTTAATTATTGTCGCTTCTATCCAAGAAAAATTTGGTGTATGTATTTCCTGTCCTATTGCTTTTAATCTAGACCAGAGTACTTGAGTATATATAAACAAGGATCATTCTAAAATTTCGTTCAATTTCTTCTCTGTAAACTTTATTACACTTTGCTATTGCATATTGCCTCCCATAAAACAAATTATTTCTTTTGCTATGACTGAACGGTGCTGCAATTGTCCACTGGGCACAAGAAAGAGTTGGTTGACCTCAAAGAAACAACTGCCCAATAAATAAGTTGGGTAATGACTTAAAGAGAAACTTTCTTAAGAGGAAAGAAGGATAGCCAACAGTCACATGAAGAAATGCTCAACCTCCCTAGCCATAAAAGAAATGCAAATCAAAACAACATTGAGATAACACCTCACTCTAGTTAGAATGGCAAAAATCAAGAACTCTAATAAAAAATAGAGGCTGGAGGGGATGTGGACAGAAGGGAACCTTACTGCATTGTTGGTGGGATTGTAAACTTCTTCAACCACTTTTGAAAGGGTTTTCCTTTTTCTTTTCTTTTCTTTCTTTTTTTTTTTTTTTTGGTCATGGGGCTTGAACACTGGGCTTCGACGCTCTCCCTTAGCTCTCCAGCTCATGGCGACTCTAACGCTTGAGGCACACTTTAAATCCCTAATTTTGAATTTGTGCCAGTTATTACATTTTCAAATTCATTATTTCATATTACAAGGAATCAAACACTTTTGTGTCGATTTAGTCAATTGGTTTTGAACCAAAGAGATTTGAACAAACGTTCAAGTCTTTATTTTAATGATTACCAAAGAATAGGAAACAACGTATATCAAAATCCGTAAAATTACGTAAAATGAATGATCTTTCAATCTTCACCCAACCTACATGATGGTTGTAATTGGGCAGGTAATAATTTTATGTGAAGTAATTATGCCTGAGCAGCATATACTGAATGCATTTCTTGAAGCTGGTTTTCACTGATCTTAGTGGACTGCTGTAGTAAGTTTCCAAATACTCTCTGTGTCCCTTTTGTTCAGATTATTTGGAGTGTGGCTTCTCAACCATCCAGAAAATCCTTATCATTTATTTGCAAAAATTAGTATGTGTTTAAGATAACCTGTCAGATGAACAGAAAAGTGCTAAAGCTCTACATACCTATTTATGTACATATATGCATATATGTATAGTACTATATAGTAGTACATATTAATGTACATACATGTATAAATATATAAGTATGACATATGCTGGTAAGTGAAATTAACCCAAAGATGTTGATTCAAGAGGGTTACCGTTATTGTTCTTGCTTTCACTGTGCTATGTGAGTTTTTTTGTTTCTATTTCATTTTCCTCCTCATATGTTTGATCCCTGATGTCACTGTATTTGATTTTGATATCTGTCACCTTGTATAAATATTTTCTTTACTTTGGGGAGTGGAAAGGAAATAACAAAATCCAGAAAGAACACCCGATGACCCATTGAATGTTATGAGGCACTGTATTGGAAATGTACTTTAGAACTTTATGGTTGAAGAAATATGTTTAGATGGAAGAAGGAAAGAATAGTGGGAGAAAAACAAAAGAAGGCATAACAATGTTTGACAAGCATTTTACACATTACATTAATGTTTCAATTGTAACTCCTCTACATAGTATATATACAAGAAAACATATTTTTAAGAAGGGACTAAAAATCAGAAGAGAACCCCACAGAACTGATCATGGTATCCAAATGTCCTATAAATAAGTATGTGGTAGAGGTATGTGCAGCACAAATATTTTTTGCATCGTGATTTATTTCTCTTTTCAAGTTCTCAAAAAGAAAATAACATTTCATGAAAGATATTTAAAATATGAATAGGATATAAGAATTGATATATACAATATACTCTTTGACTTTAGACTCTATTACTTCCTAAATGCCAATTCAAACACACTTTTTTAAAGAATAATGAATTTTTTTTGCTCTCAAGGGTGAAATTCGATTGATATAAGCAAAAAAGTGAAAATCAATTAAACTGAAATCAAATATAATGTTTACCACATATTTATGGATATAGCGAATGACTTTATTGGGACTGTGAAGGTGGCTCAGTGGTAGAGAGCTTGCCTTGCAAGAATGAGGCCCTAGGTGCGATTCCTCAGCACCACATAGTCAAAAAGAAAAAAGGCCAGAAGTGGCTATGGCTCAATGGTAGAGTGCTAGCCTTGAGCTGAAGAGCTGAGGGAGTGCCCAGGCCCAGAGTTCAGGCCACATGACCAGAACCCCCCTCCCCAAAAATAAGAATGACTTTACGCACGAAAAAATTCTTGTCACATGTATTGATTTGAAATGAGACGACAAGTGGCATATAGCCATATTATGGTTTCAAAATGAAATATTGCTAAGGTAATAAGGATAACAAAAACAAACAAGAAAAGAACTACAAAAATATTCAAAGATCACACTATGGTTTAATATCCAGCCATGATAAGGAATAATTTATCCCTTAATGTAATTGGTAAATATTTCAAGTGACAAAAAAAGGAGAGAGAGTAACAGGGAGAAAGAGAGTTGAAAGTGGGATCACTTCTTAGCTAAGCGAACTTCTCAGCAACTTTGCTTTGTGTACCATTGTTTTGATTGGTGTGCTTGTTGAGGAAGGTGTAACTTGCCATATGTTGAAAAAAGCTATGGAATAGTTTCTAAAATGTATGAATTTTAGCATATCAACACAGTATAATTTTATGTATTGCTAGGTCCAATACAGATTTTAACACATCATACTCATAAATATTTAGCATGTGTTTTCTCTATTTGTAGCTCCTTCTTCAAAACCAGTAACTACTCCAAACTAAAGCATTCATGCTACTTTAATCAATTAACATACCTGGTAAAGAATGATTTTTTCACAACTCTGTACTGTAGTGTATTTATGTGTAAAAATTTCCTAGAAATTTCTCGTTGAATTGTGTGTGTAGCCTTGTTCATGGAGCATATATATTCATATGAAATTTCTATGCTACCAAATTTGAAATGACTTATTTGGTAATCAGAAGAAGAACATTAATTAAACCAAATTATTTACTGATAATAGATAATCTAGTAGCAACACTAGGATGATTTTGGCCATAGGCCAAAGCATACATGTATTCTGGTAATTTTATCGAACATTCCTTACCCTTACATAAAAATATCTATGAACAATGAAGTGACTTCGGAGGAAAATATTTAAAAAAAAAACTTGTCTGTCCCCCTTGAAGTGAGAAGCATGACTTTCCACAAATTGTTCACATTTAATGAATAGGGAACTTAAAAAATTTTTTCTATTTTTTTAGTTTTTGGTGGGCCTGTCGTGGGGCCTGAACTCTGGGCATGGGCGCTGTCCCAAAGCTCTTCAGCTGAAGGCTAGCGCTCTACCACTTGAGCCACAACGCCTCTTCTGGCTTCTTTTTCTTTTTGCTTACGTGGTGCTTAGGAATCGAACCCAGGGCCTCAGGCATGCAAGGCAAACGCTCTACCACTGAGCCACCTTCGCAGCCCAACATTTTTTCTTTTTTTTAAGCTTTTTATTGTAAAAATATTGTACATAGGGGTTATAGCTACATGAGTAGGGTAATGATTACATTTCATAGAGAGCATTTTACCTCCTCCTTTATTTTACACATACCATCATTTCCCTCCCCATGTCCCCAAATTGTCAAGTTCATTTTCAATATAGTGTCTGGTATATCTCACTGTCACAATGGGTCAGTCTGCATCCTCATTTAAGCATTGCTGCAATATCCTTTCCCGTCCACAAATTACAGAAATAAATATACAAGCTGCAGAGCAGCAGCATCAAATCTGTTAAAAACAGCAGTTACCATGAGGGAAGAAGATACAATAGAAAAAAAGAATCATATAGTGCATTGTAAGTACAGTAAAAACACTACCAAGAAAGATAAAAATCAAAAACTTCTGTGTACCTGTCTTGGGGAATATTTTGCTTAACATTATCTTCGATGGTCATATGTACATAGCCTTTGACCTACTCTTTTTTTCCTAAAAATGTACAAGTCACTGCAAACAAAAGAAATGATGGGACCTGTTTCTTTGGGACTGGCTTACTTCACTTAATATGATTTTTTCCAAGACTTTCCATTTCCAAACAAAAAGGCTGTCTCATGTTTATGCCTTCTGACGGAGGCATAGAATATAGATAGATAGATAGATAGATAGATAGATAGATAGATAGATAGATAGATAGATAGATAGATAGATAGATAAATAGATAGATAGATCTATAAATCTATAAAATCTATAAATCTATACATATAGACTTTGTGATCTTTTTTTAAATGCCCAAAAGTCGAGTTGCTGGGTCAAAAGGCAGCTCTATATGGAGTCATTTAGGGAACCTCCATACTGCTTTCTACAGTGAACAAGTTTACAATCCCACCAAAAATACCTTAGCATTACCTTTTGACCCTTCCCCTCCCGCATCTGTTGTTATTAAAGTTATTGATTACAACCGTTCTACGAGAGGGTGAGGTGGAAGCTTAGTATTATCTTGATTTTCATACTTGTATTGCTAGTGAGTTTGAACATATCTTTGTGTGACTTTTGACCATAATTGTTTTCCCTTCAGAGAAATCTCTTTTTCAGTCTTTAGGCCATTTGATAATCAGGCAGTTGATTCTTTGAGGATTTGTTGTTGTGGAATTAGTTTTTTGAGTTTTAAGTATGTTTCATATATTAGACCCTTGTCCATTGAATGGTTAGTGAAAACTTCTCCCAGTCTGGGGCTTTCTGTTGAACTTGCTAGCTATGTCCTTTAGCTTGTGGAAGTTTTGCAGTTTCTTGCAATCCCATTTGTCCAACTTTACTTTGATAAGTTGTTCTCCCAGTTTTCTACTGAGAAAATTTTGCCCTGTGCAAATAGTCCTAGAGTATCTCCTATTCCTTCCTGTAATTTTTTCATTGAGTCTGCTTTTCTTTCGTGGTCTTGATCCATTTGGAATTGATTCTGCTGTACATGATATATACGGATCAAGTTTTATTTTTCTACAAGTGATTAACCAATTTTACCAGCACCATTTACTGAAATGTCTGTATTTCTTTCATTCTGTTTGTTTAGCTCTATTATCAAAGATTATGTGGGTTCATTTCTGGGTCTTTAGTCCTATTACATTGGTCCTCAGGTGTTATCTTTTGCCAGTAGTAAGCTGTTTTGATGACTATGGCTTTGTAGTAGAGTTTGAAGATTGAAATTGATATACCTCCAGGGCTGGTATTGATAAGTTGACAACAATTTTTAAAATGAATCGGTATTTACAAAGACATAATATCCTGCAGTTCAATTATAATATACACATGACTGGGTGATATTAATATATTTATGAAAATAAACTCATTCTACATCATTCTATATCTTGCCTTATTATCACTACCTAATTTGACAGTTATTACTTTTGCATGTTTCACATTTCTTGATGGAAACAAAGAGTCTCTGATTAAACATAGGAGCAGTGTTATGTATGACACATCTTTTGTAATTATATTGAAATTCAAAATCTATTGATTGTTTTTATAATTCTTGAATACAATCATCTGACTTCATCCAAGAATATACATCGTTCACAGTGATGTGTAAGAGTTTAGGAAACAAAGAGTACAGATGAGTACAAATAATGAGTACAAATGAGTACAGAGGTACATAAAATCATGGAAATAGAACTTCCAAAGATAGTAAACTTCTATTGGATTTCTTTATCACATCCTCACATGGTTGGTGAATGTTTGTAATTCCTGACAGTACACTCAGGTTTACCAATGAGATGTATTTCCAAAAGTTTTATAAAACTTTGAGGAAGCTTGTGTGTCCACATGGCAAAATTTGAAAAGTTAAATCTAAACCATAGAACTTATTCAATGGCTACTGTGAAAATAAAATTATAAGATAAATGACAACAAATGTAACAGCAACACTTACAAGAAATGGGTGTTAATGGGGAATGGGAAAGAGAAAGAGAAAAATGAGAAACGTGTAACAATTTCAATAAGGATTGTACTCACTACTTGTGTAACTATACACCTGCACCAGGTCACTATGAAAATTAAGTAAAAAGAAAAAGAAAATAATAAATCATAGAACTGATGGAATGACTTATGTTACATTTCACATATCTAACTCACTTTCAAACGGATGATAATGACAATATCTGTTAATAATTCTTGAATTCTAATTTTGCAATTAGCTCCTTTTTGTATATACAAGACAAACAGAGCAGAAAAAATTTTAGGCTAAATAGAGAAGTTCTGTATTTACAATTCTGGTATCTCTATGAATATCCTTGTCAATTATTTCCAGATTACAGAATGTTTATTAAGGCCTTTTGCACAGAAAATATATATTCTTTTATTAACAGTGAATATAGTATCTTCCATTTATGTATTATTTTTTGTACCAAATAAATCATTACAAAATTTGATATTTCATAGAAATTTCATATGATAGGAATGCTCCATACATAGGGTCACACATGGATAATGGAACAAGAAGTTTCAACAGAATTTTTAGACATGAATACACTACTGTCAGAATATTGGGAGACTCATTCTATCACAGGTGATCACTGAGTAAATAGGTGAAAATAGCCTGAAGGCTTAAGATTGCAGTACTTGCTCCTACTGAACAAGAAGCTACAAAGAAATAGAACACATGCAGATTACTTTAGAATGTGATTTGTCAAAGATTCTATTGACCGTGATATATATATATATATATATTATGTGGGGAAATTAATAAATTTTGGAAAATATTCCACAGCCTGTTGCAACTGTGGGCAAGTTACACCTCCACCTCTCATACCACCCAAAAGTATGAAACACAAAGCAAAGTACTTGAGAAGTTCGTTTAGCCATGTATAAATCCTAATTTTAACACTCATTCTCTGTTACTTCCTGTCATTCTCTTGTACCTTGGAAGAATCACTCCTTATATTAAAGTTGATAAACTATGCCTCCTTATGCAGTATAATAAAAGAGTGGCATTGTTCTTATTATTTTTGATTTTGTTTTTGTTTTTCCTTAGGGCACTTTCATTTGGAAACCCCAGCGAAAGCTTCTTATTTCAAAATATTTGTTTTCTTATTTCAAATCAAATTTTATTTTAGAAGAAATTTTCTGTGGACTAAATCACTCTGAATATCAATAAATATGACATTAACATTATATATACTTCAGTTTAATTGCTTTTCATTTTTCTGCATAAACACTTAAATTCCATTCTTGAGAATAGAAAGATAGATGATGATTCTTTAACCCAATTTGTTCAACTTAGCATATAGGAAGTATGCAGTTTAATGTCAAACATTATATTGTCTATATCAACTTCACATCCTGCTTATAGTTTTGGTATCATTAAGGTAATGTTACTTTTCCTTGAGAGCTTAAAAAGAGCAAAAAACTCACAATGACATCAAAGTCACATATGATAAAACTACTTTCAGCACAAACAGAATAATAGGACATTTTAGTTCCATAATCAGGTTGTTTTGGTTTTCCATTCTTACTGTGTAGCCTCTTTCTTTCAAAATTTTTCCCCCCAAAGATGCTGTATGGATTTACAGTTACATACGTATTGAGTACATTTCCCTCGAGTATTGTTATCCCCTGCTATTTTTTCCCCATACTTTCCTTTCCTTCCTGAACATCATCACTCCTCTTCCACACCAAAGCTGCAACGTTCATTTCCCACATAGTGTTTTGTGAATATCAATATACCAATTGGCAGGTCTCCTGCCCTTCTCCAAAGTAGAAAATTGATTAACAAAATGGTACCAAAATCAAACATAGTGACAACAGGAATATAGCATATGAAGAAAATATATAGTAGAAACAAAAAATAATATAGCATATTAACATCAAGAAAAACACAAAGAAAACACCTGTTTTTACCTTAGGTTTCATTTCACGTGGCATCACTTTATATAGAAATATATTATCAATGTCTATATCCATCTATCTATCTATACCAAAATATTTAGCTTTTGAGTTTTCTGCTTATCTGATAGAATTACCATAGACATTACTAATTATAGTATAAGTCTATTATAGTATATGTCTATATATTAATAATCAGTTTTGTGTTAATTTGTTTGAAGGGACAGTCCAATTAAGTCTGAACAAATGGACACAAACAGGATTTTCTAACTGACTACACAAGTCACACTATGAGGAGATAAAAGTTATCTCGAGAAATACATTCAATAGATACTGCTAAGGCTCAGTGAGATAAAATGATTACCTGATCAATTACAACCATTATATAATTTCGTTGAAAAATGCAAACATACTTTTTGACCTATTTTCATGTATTTTGACATAATTTGTCTCCTCTCTTTTGGGGATGATTAAAAATGGAGGTCTGAACATTTTTTCAAGACCAGTTGACTAAGGGGACAAAAACATTCAACTACACTTAGTTTTGCTTGTTTTCAGGTGATAGTCATCAAGCCAATACTTTCAGATTTCCCCTACCATAATAATAAAAGCATAAAGAAGAGATGAAAATTGCTTATTAAGTATTAACAAACACTGCCAACAAATAAAATGCATGAACTATACAGAAAGGGAGTCACAGAAGGTTCTGAACCTTTCTTTTTCAGAGAGCAAGGTGTGGTTTTTCAAAACTATTTGTGAGACTTTTAGAAAAATCCTTTTCTTCATTTTTCCTCACTTTAGTCAAACAAAATTACAATCTTTTGTGTACAATTTAGGTAAATGCTTAAAACTTAGCTAAGTACTTTGACAGTACTGATGTGCAATAAGTACAAGATACAAAAGTTCATCAATTTTAACACATTTATACATGAGTTTAATCACTAATTAATACTTTTTTTTCACATAGAGTCTTTCATTGTTCATACAAATCAGTGTTATAGTTACCTTTTTTTCTGAAAGTATAATTTATTTTAAGAGAGATTTGCACATGAATAAATAATTCACTGAAAGTATTCCTGTTGGTAATTGATCTGCTTCTTCAAGAATATTTTCTGAAGATCTACCTTGTGAAAGAAAGTTGAAACAGTGTAGTTACAGCAGAGGTTATATAGGTGAATTCCAAAGATGATCATCAGACGTGGTGGTTTTGAAAACATTTTGTTTCTGGTGATGCGCATATTTAGAGATCCGTATTTTCCCTCTTGAATTATATCAAATATTGGCTACAATATTTGAAGCAATCATTGATCTTGCATACAATTCTTGGGATTGATTCAACAATACTTATATGAAATCCTGAAAGATCCCTCTCTCCTGCTGTTTCTTCTCCTCATCTTCCCATTCTTTTCCTCAATTGCACCTTCTTTTCCTCCTCCCCCTCTTCTTCCTCCCCTTCCTCCTCCTCTTCCTACTC